TGGTCATACTATAAATTTATTTGAACACTAGCGTTAACCTCACATGCTAAATCTGAACAGCCTGGTAAAATTAATCTTACCGGTACTTATTTTCACTCATGACTGGTAGGATGTTTTCATTTTTTATACTGCATTGAAGAATACAATGTCATTCCTCGTACGAGACATGCATATAATATTATGGTTTGAATGAGCGCATTTTAGCTAAATAAAGCTCTAAAGAATATTTTGCTGACAAACTCATTTTTACTCCTGTATACACCAGATTGAACATTAAACTCTCATTTTGAATATAGACGTGCGAGCTCATGTTTTGGTTCCTGTAGAAGATATCTGGAAACCTGTATTTGCTTTTACTATCTGATCAGATTTTGTATATTAATGATCATTATAAATCTGGCATTGGAAACAATATGATTTACTATTCCAAAATGTATCTGCATGGACTTGTTTAAGTGTTTGTATATTTCCCTCACAATATCTCATGCTAAACAATCCATTGTACGTTTGCCCTGTCTGTCAGTGTGGTGCCTGTTTACTTTTGCAGGGGAGATATCTCGGTCTCATTGGACGTACAAAGTTCCTTCAGGGTTCTAACAAGTTGGATATGACCTCTGTGCTGTAATTCATCCAGTACGACTCCAAATTCAACATTACAGCTGCATGTTCAGTGTTCACACCCAGTTTAGTTTAGTACTGACATCTGGCAATTATAAATCATTAGTCGAGTACCCATGGTGGACATGATAAGACTCGTCTAGCTAACTGGGTAAAAACAAACAAGGGGCTGACCTGTTTACCCTTCACTTCCAGGGAAATTGTGCCCACCATCCTGGTCATTGTTAGTGCTGGCACCTCTTCAGCAAAACTCCTTATTTGTCAATTGGTTAGGGGTAGTACAGCAAGTTGCATGCTCTTTTCTTTTCTGATGAATTTTGCAGATAAATTCAGGTGGTTCTCAGTTTCCAATGTCCATTTGCCATGCTGGGGTAAATATACATTGCCAACCAGCTATGCCACACTATCCATATACATTAGGTAAGGAAAACACTTTCTAGTTACATCAAGCACAAGGTTCAGTGAGTTGTAAGATCTATACTTGCGGACAAATTATGCATAATGAAATTTTGAAAACATTATTAACTGTTGTATAATTCTTGTTTTCCACACAGCTTCTCAAAATGGAAAACTATTAGGTTTGAAGTATTTTGTATTACCTAAAAACTAGTGAAACTACTTTTCTGTGTCATGTCTCTCTGACCATCCCCACTCACCTGGCCAGCTTCTGATTTGATTCACTTCTCACTGCACCAGAGCACCACCTGCTGGCTGAGCACCCCTTGGATTTGTGGCCTAAACCATTGAGTTGTTGCAGCAGACTCATGAAGTGGACTAGCACTCTCTTGAAGGCCAACATTCCAGTATGTTTATGTGATGTCTCGCTACCTTAGCCTGCTTTTAACTTTTGTGGCATGTATTACCAGAACAAAGCCCACGAGCCAGGTCTGACCATGTTAGCATAGTAAGGACTTTTATCAGTTAACTATGAAACCAAGAAAGTGATTGTTTTGCTGACATGGTAATAACAGTTTTCAGGTCCTGACTTCATAAGAGCCAGTCGATATTTTTACCCTAAATCATAGGTATTTGTGACTTTCAAGGTGAAAGATTAACCAGGGTGCCAGTTAGATAAACTGTTAGTTATGTGACTAAAGTTAGTTACGATTAGTATGTTGGAAAATAGGAAACGTCACACTCATTCAGAATTTTATTTCATAGTAATACAGCATTTATACAAATTAATTTGAAAACAAGCGCAATCAAAAAATATTTAAGGACTGAAATGTAGAATTTGAAGACTACGCCTGGCTTACAATTTGTAATTCATAATTTTAATATAAACTACTTCTCTTAACAGTTCATCAATTCATTTATCTTGTACTATGCCTTTCATAAAATATCAATATAAACAAACTTACTGTATCAATATTTTGTTTTAAAACTGCTACTTTATTAAAGATTTGGATATATACCTTAGAGATTTAAGTATTTTTATCCAGTACAAATCATGGTTTTAGAAAATCATGTGACAAAATTCCATCAGAATCCATATTAAAATACATAGTATTCCACAGAAGCTCCTAATATTTTGTGACAATCTATACGTTGCCTAACAATATTTTCAGATATGACAAGATCTTCTCCCCATAGGATCATATGTTAAATGGCTCAAACATTGTCATTTTCATGTCCATATGTTTTTCTGAACAAAAATCATGTAAAGCTGAATGTCCGTTTAATACACATGAACGACCTTAAAACTTTTTCTTTATTAGTATGTGTTAGGAATAGTTGATTAGATTTGTTAATAGCGCTGGGACTTTTCACCATATTTAATTATTTTAAATTGACTTTAGTGATTTTAATCTTATTATTGATCAAATGTTAAATCAGTTTCCTAGAACTCTCATATTATAAATACAGTCAAGATTCATCACTGTTCCAAAATATACATTCAATATTCATCTGATGATCAAATAATTTAGTACTAGTCACCCATTCGTCAAAGTCCAAATAGTATAGTGAGCAGCTTATGTACAACTCAAAGTCATTCAATTTGGACAAAGGAAGTAACAAAAAATAAAATAGAAACAAACTATTAGTAATTTCTATCTGCTGCAGCATGAAAAAGTCATTAATTGTTCAGTAATTGTACTTCATTTGGATTCATAATAAATTATGATATATAACATTATTTAGAAAATGTGCATTACTTGTGCTGCATGTCATGTAATGACTGAAATAATATGCTCATGAATGCAAACGATTGAGCCAAACATTTTTCTCTGGCATTATATGTTTTTGTTAACAGTGTTATATCTCATAAAATTATTATTATACACAGGACAAGTTTAGTACCGGTAATCATGAGAATACTACAAAGTATGCACTCAGGCAGTAAAGGATCGCATTGACCTCTACTATGTGTCTGGCGATAAGATTACCATACTGCTATTGTTCATAATCCATATATTAGTGAGAATATTGAATGATATGGTAGTTATAAACACTACAGTAATCACAATGCCTCAAAGACATTGTTAACAGAAAATTATACATTGCATGATTACTGAGGCACTTTTCGTTAATTAATGATAATGTTGACTCAATTTCTAAACTTACAGTGACAATGAAAGTACATTCTGTAAATTGAGCTTGCAAAGAAATTACATAATTAATTTTACAATATTTACCTTGAAATTAACAAAAGTTGATTAAAATCTGTGATTTGTTAAAAACATAATTAAATGCTCGCATCTAGTGCTGTACCAAAAGCAACGATTCCGAGCACACCAGCAATAACTAGTGACACACGATAGAAAGACAACATACCAATAGAAGCTAATCCGATACAAGAGAAAAGCATCAATTTGGAAATCAGCGGTAGACGACTCCTGCAAGTAGTGAAACATATGTTAAATTTATATATTTTCAGACTTAATTCGGACTGCTAATAACTGTGTTACTAAAATTGACAAAAGAAGTTTGAATGCGTTAATGGACAGTAATTGTGTGATTTCATGATATATGAAACATAAGACAACCAAATTTGTGTTTAAAATTAGAATCAATGATGCTATAACACGCTATCGCTCTTATCAAAATAAAATACTGTAAAATACTTTATTTTCGCTATTTTCACTGAAGGAATGATTCAATTATAATAAAATCAAGCGAATATTCTTTTTTTCCTATAATTTACATTTAACTCGTCCAAAATCATTGAAAATAAAATCCATTCACAACACCCAAAAAGTCTTTTCAGCGAAAATTAATTCTAGCTAAAATAAAGTATTTCACAGTATTCTACACAACTATTTAATCTTGTACCTTTATACAGAAGTAGGTAAATAATTCACTCACCGATTAGCTGGTAGTTTATATCTCGGGTCTAGTAGAAACATCAGTGACACACATGCAGGTATAGAGGTCAATATAGAAGGATCATTAGCAAGATGCATAGTTAATCTGTTGATGAAAATATGGAATTATTCAATAGTTTTTATAGAGAATCTGGGTGCTCTCTGGATTTTTTGAAGTGTTAGTAATTGTGGTAATTGAACAAGCAGCCTCTCAGCTGAGATAGCCCCACTGTTAGCAATGCACGCTTCAATTAAAGAACAGAAGATTTCATTAGAAAATGAACGAATCTGAGAGAGATCTATCTGAGGTAATTACATGTATAACATCCAAGCAATCTGACTTGCGGTTTTTAACAAGAATTTGACAAAAATATTCACCAAAATTAAAGACATCACAAAATGAACAAATCTGAGTGATGTCTATCTGAGGTACCTACATGAATAATATCAAAGCAATCTGACTTGGGGTTTTCAACAAGAAGTCAAAAATATCACTTTTTACCAAAAATGACTAAAATATTCATCACAATTTGAGAATAGAAGATATCATTACAAAATGAACAAATCTGAGAGAGGTCTACCCAAGGTACATGTACACCAAGTATCAAAGCAATAAGACTAGTAGTTTTCAAGAAGAAGTCAAAAAAGTTGACACGGATGACAATGGTCAAATCACTCATATGATGAGCTCCACTCAACAAAGTCGACAGGGAAGATAAAAAAAAGAGGACAAAAAAATAAACCTTCCCCATATACATCATAATTAATTCATCTTGAGATATTTAGTGGATTTACTAAAGACAATACAATACAATATAAATTTTCGCTGGAATTAATTTTCGCTGAGAAGGCTTTTTGGGCGTTTTGTATAGAATTTATTTTCACTGATTTTTGATGTTTAATGTGAAATAGCGAAAATAAATTATTCTACAGTATTCTTTCATCAGAAATATTATATATTACTTGTCAAATATTGTCAGCAGAGCACAGGAGATCCTTCACCTTGGGAGGCATAAACATTGACATCTTGTATTTTTATTATCTTTCAGATCTAAATTTCTCTCAATATAAATATTATGTAACAAATCAAAAAATCAGGTGAACTTTCGTGATTGCCTCCAATCCGAACAAATGTTCTCCGCTTAGCAAAGCGGTTTGTACAAGTGAGAACAGTTAAAACATGTGTCACTAGACCTAGGCTCTCTCAGATATTGGTAAATTGAGACTTGTTTCCATGAATTACTAAAAATCTGAAGATGAACTACTGTGGAACACTTTATTTTCGCTGGAATTAATTTTCGCTGAAAAGGCTTTTTGGGCATTTTGTATGGAATTTATTTTCACTGATTTTTGATGAGTTTAATGTGAAATATAGGAAAAACAGTATATTCACTGGATTTTATTTTCACGGAATCATCCCTTCAGCGAAAATAGCAAAAATAAATTCCAAGCGAAAATAAAGTATTCTACAGTATTAAAATTTACATTAGTATGTTTATTTTTAATGTTTGCTATTTTTTGCTTTCCTTTCTTAATAATTTGACAACTAACACTTTACACAATTGCAGTACAAAATACCTAGGATGTTTCTATTTAAACCATGTATTGATTTTGCATGAAATGTATTAATAACTAAATTTATCAAAGTAACCCGACTCACTGCATGTTTTTGATCCAAAGTACAAGTGGTGTAAAATTGAGAGCCACTAACGCACACCATAATAGGAGTATTGTAAACTGATAATGGAAGGTATTCTCAGCATCTAACAGAGATTCTGAAATCTGTGAATCCTTGTCCTCTTCTTTCTTGCTTGATTCGTGTGATTGTTCAGGCTAGAATATTAAGCAGAACATATTTTAGATTATTTGTGGCATTCAACTTAATAAATAAAAAAGCCATTTTCACAAGGAATAGATACTGTTTTGATTGCTGGACTGTGATGTACCAGCTACTGTAACTGAATATACCGTAGTAGTGCATCTCTCAATTAGAAAGTAGGTTAGGATATGCAAAACCGTATGCAATTGTGTTTCCACAAGAACTGTATAAATACACACCAATTTTCTTAATAATAAGTACAGGGGGGATTACATTTTTTGTTATGATTCTGTACACTATACATGCATCTCCTGTCAGGGATAAGGGGGGGGGGGGTAATAGGAGTGACAAATTTATCAAAAAGCATTGTCATACAAAATCAATGATAAATAGCTCAAAATCATCATTTTTATGGATGTTACATGGACATTTTTTATTGCGTTTTTAGATGAACATTGTGTAATTATAGGAAATTAAATTAATTAAATGTCGCCTGAGGGAGTTTAAGGGTGTTAACAGTCCTCAGGCCTGCAGCATTTCTTGCAAACGCCTTCGGCATTTGCTGATGATATAGTATACTATCTAATTATGCCTGAGGACTGTTGACAGTCTAATATTTCACTAACTGACTGAGAGCATAAATTAATTATAAATGATTGGAATTATAATTGGATTAATAAATGAATGGATCTTAAATCAATATGAATCATGAATGATCAAAAGAACAAACAAATAAACAGACTGACTGAACTCCAAGAAACTACAGCTAACTCACCAAATTCAGACAAAGCCTTGTCCTTTCTACAACTGCATAGTGTCTAGCAACCTATAAGAAAATGTTATTTTATTTTGATACTGGTTATTGCTCAAACATTGTTGTATGAAACACAAGCAGATATTGGCAGCTGTACACAAGTAATGAAAGAATAAAACAGTTAAAGGGGAACTAAATAGAGCCTATTTTGGTGTTTGTATTTATCAAGTTATGTATATTGATTATAAATTTGAAAAAAAAATGATTATCTTCAGAGTTATGATGATTTAAATATGAGAAACCATAAACATGCGAAGGACTTCCGTTTGCACCATCTTGCCATAAAAAAACGCCCTCATGAGGAATAACAGAAAAGGCAACAAAGCATGATGACGAAATCTGATCTGATGACGAATCTAGTATCTGATTAAATATAAGCAACTTAGGGAGCCATAGTTGGCTGGACAGGTGAATTGACTTCTAGTCTAGGTTGTTTCGACTTTTACATTAATGTTATTTACAAGCGTATCAACATACAAACATTATGGATGTGCATTTGATCGAGACAGGCATTTTGTTTTGTTTTTTTGTCTAACTGTCTAATAAATGCTGTTTCCAGTACTGCACTGTGCGGCGTGCAAATTATTCAAAGTATGGATGCTGGAGTATGCAATCTTGAGTTCGTAGGGTGGTGGTGGAAACATTTTTCGTCCATGTATTCACAGGGCTGCACTGGCAAGTCATGGGACAAGTGTCACAGGAATACCAAGCAGATTGTTCACAGACTTCCGTGTAATTTGAAATAAAACTTTCATCCGAACAAGGGGCATCGTCGACGATATACTCTCATCACTCACACTGGACTGATCTGAATCTTCACAGTATACCGTACTTCCCTGATCATAAGCCAGGAGGCATGAACACGTAAGGGAAAAGTAAGGGATGAGCTTGTACTCGAGGACCAACTCAGAAAAAATGATTTTGTTTTGGGGTTAAACACTGTAACCATCTTGCAAACAACAAAATATTATCCAAAAAAATTATTCGTTCACCACGCCGGGCTTGGGAAAATAATACTTATTTTTGAAAAAAAAAATGCGTCATTAATTTGAACGACACTTACAATGAAGAAACATGTTCATAAAAAACACACACATTTTATTACAATACGATTTACATACCGTCTGAATTTAAGGTGAAATAATAGGTCGGGTCTGTGAGGAAACAGTGAACGAAGGCATTTATCATTATCATCCTTTTGGTATGTTTTCGATCGTACGCACGATTTGACCTGGAACAACTTCCTTTGACATAACAGGTCATGTCTTTCATTAACCAATCAAAATGATGTGTCGTAATGATGAAATTTTCCGATTATTGACGATGATTTTTTAACACAAAGCGGAAGTGAATTACCGCAATGTTAAAATGCGATCTGTAGCACTGATTGCAACGAAAAAAACGATGGTTTTTTTTTCTAAAATCTGGCGATTTTCAATTTCCGAAATATAAATTTAAACACCCTTCTCGGTCGCCAACATGTCTCATCGTTCAAACCCTAGGCCTTTCATGGTAGTCTCAAACTAAACCATGCCCAATAACCAGGTACACGACTTAACGATCACATTTTTGGCTTTTCGAAAGCTACAACTAAAAGAATTATGGATTACTCCAGAATTGCAACATCGGGGTTCATCCTGAGTAAATGACAGAATAGAACTGATGCGAACCACGTTGTGTACATTCGCCATGCACTCTGAATTTAATGCAAGTTTTCTCATAAAACAAAAAGCATTAATCAAACTACCATGCCAATCACGATTATTATGAAATGACACACCCTTTACACGCATATTTTAAAGAATATCGTCGACGCCCAGTAAAAACACTCTGGGCTTATAATCGTGAATGCTCTCAACTCAATAAATACCAAGTAAAAACATAGGAATGGGCTTCATACTCGGGAGGGGCTTACGATCGGGGAAGTACGGCACTTTAACGTAATTGGGCTTTCACTCTCAGAATACTGTGGTTCAAACGCATAAGGCTCTAACCTATAAAGTTATAAAAAGCACATTGTGCATATAAAAGTTGAGTTTATACTAGTAGTACACAATGCTTGGCAGCGAGAACGGCTATGTACAATGGCGTATACGAATGCAATCAGATACTAAAACGTCATAGCTTTGAAAAGTACCCGGATTTTAAATATGTTCGTTCGTTATTTATTCCCCTTCATGAATGGCCTCCATGGTGTTTAATTGCCATCACTTCAAATGCCTATCCAAGCTACAGTTATAATTAAAACAAAATTAAACCACTGCAATATTATTTTGAATATAGTTTAGAATATACACAACTATAAATTAAGGCCGCATTTAGGTTCGCTTTAAAGTGTATATATACATATTCTTATTTGAAGTGGTTCCAATGTGACATAATTACATTGTTACTGACTTAAAGCGCAGTAGTCGTCGCACTGCACATGTGCGACATTTGTGTTGATAAACATTGATTTTTCCACAATCCAATGTGCTCTTCAAATGGAAATCAGAAGTATGAGGTTTGGCCTTGGCGCGACTTGCACTGATTGCCGCCGGTGACTCCTTTGATAGCTTCCAATAACATGAAAATTACTCAATTAAAGCTTGGAAACATCTAAGTTCGTACTCGTTGATTTGTGCAACTGTCAAAGTCGCCATCTTTGTTTCTATGAGACCCATATATCTCGCACATGTGCAGCGCGTCGACTACCGCGCTTTAAATATAAAACAAAATATGATTATTTTTGTTTATATTAAAATCAAATGTATTGACACATTTAACTTAGATTGAAAGATCAACTGTAATATTTTACTCACCTTAAAAAAATAAATTATTAATCCTAGTACCAAACCCACTGTTCCACATAAACGCATTGACAGTGATAAAAGAACACCCACGAATAAATATAACAACCATGGTGAACCGGTAGACACAGTGTTCTTTTTAATCTCAATCTTACGTCTGAGAGGAAAGAATAAAATTCAGACAACATTTGAGGTGACAAGAAAAGTGAAATTCAGTCAACAATTGAGGTGACAAGAAGAGTGAAATTCAGTCATCATTTGAGGTGACAAGAAGAGTGAAATTCAGTCAACACTTGAGGTGACAAGAAGAGTGAAAATCAGTCAACACTTGAGGTGACAAAAGAAGTGAAATTCAGTCAACATTTCAGGTGCTGAGTTATCTGTTTGCTCTCCTACTGTTTTTTATAGCATTTTTCGATGAACACCCATTATTTTATATGAAAATTGTATTATCAATAATATCAAAATGTTCATGTATTAATTATTTTGTATTATGTAATACTATATATCCTAGCTATGAAAGTATGTGGTTAGACAGATTGTGATCTACCCATGGCTGCATACACTCATGCTTGCTAATATTGTGTGAATATCAGGCACTACAAATGTTGAAACCAATTCAAGAGAGAGAGATACTAGTATCTACTTACGCAAGTGTGATCATGATGATTTTCCCGGCAGTTTTGACCAATATTGTAATTATATGTGCCACCAGCCATATTACTGCATAGGCAAATATGAACATAACTAATCCTACAGCTCCAAAACCAAAATAATTGTCTTCCATAACCAACACATCCAGCTTTGGTATCCGTAGTGATTGCCATACTTGGTCTACAGCATCAATCCTAAAACAAAGGACACCGAATATAATGCCAATAAAAGGAAAATGTGTTCAGTCAATTTGGTTTCAATGATGAACACACACTAGCAGCTTGTCATTAAATTTGTGAATTTTTTATTTATCATGTCTACAATTCTGCCAAAAAACCTAAAAAAGAAGCTGTGACCTATATGTTTTTAACTCACGTTTGCCAGTGTTCCCTTCTAAGCCTTATTTTTGCAATATTTTCTCAGTCAGGTGACAAGGGTTCTGACAGAACTCTAAGAAATATTCCATGTAATTTCCTGCATTTTATATTCAACATTTCTCACTGATAAATTTGCTTAAGGTAAACACTGGGCTTAATACATATTTTTAAATTTTTTTCAAAATTGACTACCAGATTCGGCTGATACCCCGCCCTGGGCGATCTTATGGAGGATTCGATTTTTTTTAGAAAAATGTGGACCAAAAGATCGCCCGGGCAGATATTACGAGGCCCATCTTGTCTGGAAAAATAACCCTGCGTTGATAAAAATGGTCTAGAAAAAATAATGTTTCGCTTTGACCGAATATAATCATGCAAAGTATAAATTCAAAGTGTTTTAATACATTGATGAGAGGTCGCATTTTACGTGAACAAGAACATGCACTAAGATGTCAAAGTCTAAACGGGGTGCATCATGGAAATGACACAACACACGCTGCGACAACTGAGTGATCAGCGACATCATTTTGGGACGCAATTGAACTTCAAGTACTTTGCGAAACTTGCTGCGCGGTGATGCTGGCATCAAGTGTGTGTTGACCGAAGTTTGACCCCAAGTCGCGCGCTGAACTGGTGCGTTACCTTAGCAACCTTTTACTTTTGTGGTCCGAGCGTCAATCTAGTAAAATTATTATATCCGACGGTACTGTAATTATGCAACTCTGTACTGGCTTTGAATATATCAAAGTCGTTTACTTAGTGCACTGCTTTTCTAATTATGCAAATTTGTTTACAATATTGTACCAGCTCTGAATATTTCAACTTTGTAATGTACTTTCATGTTAATTATGCAAACTCAAGTTTACTATTGTTAGGATGCTGA